GTCTCAGTTTCATATCTCTTTGGATGGTGATTAGCTTCACTAATAAGTTTCAGGCCTTGATCTCACTGGAAGCAGATTCAGAATGGCTGTACAAGGGCATTTAATGTTATAATGTTATAATAAAAAACTGCTTGAGTACATTTCTTACTAGCAAACTGCTTCTTTTGTTTCTGAAGCACCAGACACACAAACCTTCATTTATCACAAAGTCTCTGATCTCTGTTTATTTGTGTTAACCTTTTCTGTACATAGTAAAGCTTTCCATTGTAAGAAATGGATCAGGAGGTGTCATCTTGGTACTGATCCTTCAGGGAAAGTGATGATAAACGAATAACAGAGTGACACAGTGATTCTGAATTAACCAACTGAGTACACATGTAAGGGTTACACAGATTTCAGTGTGGTGAATATTGCTGGTGGTGTTCTATTTGTAGAATAATAGAAATTTGTAGAAAAATATTTATGGCCCTCAACAAAGGAAGCTAAAGAATATGGAGTTGAATCTTTGTTTTTAAATATTCTGGGATGACTCTTTAAGTCCTTCCCTGTCTGTGGAAAAAGTCAGTTTTCATTAAACTCCAGACACCCTTCTAGTAGTAGTCCTAATATTCTCTAGATCAGTGAAAGCATTTGGTAAACACATTGGGCCTGAAGCGTATTGCAATTTATATGAGAAGATGAGACTATTGCATTTTATTATCAATTAAGGATGGAGCAGGAAGAACAGAATAACTGCAAGCTTAGCCAACAGATCCTGTCAGCTATTAGTTTCTCTATTAAATAGTATAAGCACCGAATAATTTAACAAATACAAGTCCTGATACTAAAACTGAGATTCAGAGCACATTCATAGGCTTGGAGCCAAGATACTTACACTGATCACAAGTGCACAGGCTTTATAAGCATTCTTTGGAGAACTTGGCTTGAAGTTTCCCTGCAAGTTAAGCTATGATTTATAATGAACTACTCACAGACATTCAGATGTCATTATGGTAAGTGTTTGCTTCCTCCAGCGGATAACTGAGGAAGACTCTTATCCCAGTAAGAATCTTGGGAGGAAGATGGGAGTAGAACCATATACTGTGTGGTATTTGCAAGGAGAGAAGTATGGCAGGAAGGAAAGGGAGAGGCTTTAATGTATAAGCATAAAGCCACAAAGATTAGACCAAGAAATGCAAAACCGCTCCAGAGGAAAAAAGTGCAGTCTCTGAATGTTAATGAGTGCAATAATCACAGAAGGAACATATTAATTGTAACCTTGATTTAATTGTCAATATTTGCGAGAGGTGGATTGGAACAACAAGACTAGTTAATGTTCCCTTAAACTGTCAGAACAACTTCTTTAGAATCCTGCAAAACCACAAATACTAAACCTCTAGTGACTCGACGCACTACACTGCCAGACTGTCTAGAGCATAGGCTGAGAATGATCAATTACAAGCCTTGTGACTCAAGTAATGAATCTTCTCACAAGCCTGTAAAGTAATCTTCAAAAGGAAAAGGGTTCTTTTGCTAATTTTTGGAGCCCTGAATGATTTTTCAACAAACCCAGGCACTTTAAAATGACTTCCATTTGCAGTCCTCCCAGGTCTCTGTAAAAGGAAGGCTATTCCGGTACATTTAGGCTATAGGTGTGTTCCTGTTCACAAGGTAAAGAAGCTGCTGCTCAGTTACTTCAGCAGAGGAGATCCAGCTGAAGGAGCCAAGTGAGGGGGAAATTTCTAGACTTTTAAAAGTTGTTTCTGGAATTTAGAAGCAAAATGTTTCTAATTGTGGCTTCTGTGGGATGAAATGACTGATGAAATAGTGTATTTGGAAGATGTGGCCAAATCCCAAGCAACCACTTTCTGCAGCATGGCTGGATGACAACAGCTTTTGTTGTAGCTGGGTAAAATAGCATTTTAGAAATTCCCTGAGCTGTTTACAAAGGAAGAAAATCAGCTTCAGATAACTTTTAGAAATGGTCCCTTTTGTACTCTCATGGGCACCAAATTTTGGCGTCGCGCAAGATCATGCTTGGAGACCATTAGGCAGGAAGGGACCTGTACTGCAGGCACATGACTATTGCCCTATCACTTTTGGAATCTCTGGTGGAAGCTTCTAAGAGGCCATCAGAATATATTTAGAAAACATCTCAGTAATTTAAAATATTAATGGTGAACATGTGTTGTAACTGCAGTTAATCAAGCGTTGATAAAAGAATCCGAGCGTAAACAATTACACACTCCCCAGAACATTTCCTGAGTGGCACTAACAATAGCAGCTCTTCTGTACATGGCCTGAGCCGGTCTGTGTCAATGAAGGGTGTCTGGGTCTCCCTGGTGGGCTTGTGGTGATGATTCCTGCTCTTGTTTCCAGAGCCAGCTGCTGGGAGAGAGGCTCTGCTGCAGGGACTGCACTCCGAGCCTGGCGCTCGGAGAAGTGATTTCCCAGGGGATGTCTTAACCCTTTTGTAAGGATTAGGGCTGGATTATGAGATTTCAGAGGCAAAAGTGGAGTAAAGACAGTGATGGCACATGAAGGAGTGTTTGAGGGGTGTTCACCAAACGCGGTGAATGAACGGGCTGGGCTGTGACTCCTTGGTCTGTACGCAAACTGCTCCTGCTGTGTCAGTTGACACTGTGGTTGGTGTTGCTGCCTCCCCTTGCAGAGGGAAGGTTGGCGTTTGTGACTCCTTGAGATGAGGCATCTCAGAGGCTTCCTAACAGCATAGGAGTGGTTGCAAGGACCCTGTTCAGGTACGCTCCTTGGAAGAGCTAGGAAGCTTGAACAGATAAATATCCATATTTGCTCAGCATATGTTGCACTGAGCAAATTGGACTGATGATGGATAGTATTTTTAAAATAAAAATAGTAAGTGCTTTTGAAAGAACTCACTTCCAAATTTCATCTGAGCCTGTTGTTCCTTAGTCAATGGCTGCTATGAAATGAATCACCTAACCTCTATCTTCATTGTTTGCAGAGAGGCTCCACTGCTCTCTTGCACAGAGGATCATGGTTTAAAAGCTGGACTAGGTGTCAACATTCCCATGTGTTTGCTGTTACAGAGGGAAAGTGACAACCAGTAGTCCTTAAATTTCACGGCCTGGCCCAGGGGTCTGTGCGAGACACAAAAATGCCACAGTGAAAATTTTTCTGAATGGAAATGCAAACTTTATTTGGAGACACCACCAGTGCTGGAGAGAGCTCAGTGTCATGGTGAACTGCTGCATCTCTGCAGACTGGGAGGGAAGGGGGATGAAGGTTGAGGGAGTGTATGTGAACATCTTCATGGTGGTATCAGTCTGAAGTCTTGGGAGGCAGAGTTGTTGGCCCCACTTTGCTTGTGTTTCTTGGAAAGGGGGTGCTGGGGCAAGGGTGTTGTTGGGATGATCTTAGTATTGATACTAACTATGGAAGAGAACTGGCATTCCCTAGGGAATAAAGAAAACCAGAAACTGATGTTAAAGCTATTTCTATTCTAGATTATGCCAAGAAAAATATTTTACACTTAGCTTAATATCATAATTGCAAGTCCAAAACCATCACTGCTAGCTTCTAAATACAGAATAGAATCTGGGAGGAGGCAGTAAGAAAATATATGTTTTGGCTTTATGTTTGCAGCAGAGAAGTAGCCAGAATTCATCATGGGCTTGGACAAAACAAGGAGTCTTAAAAGAAATAATACTTCTAAGTAGTCTTTAGACATTCAAATACTTCAAGAGCCTATAAACCACATAATGTTAACTGTAGCACAGGTGGCCACTACACTGACTAGTTTAAGCTGCTCTTTTTGCAGTCAGTAAAGCACCAATTTTAGACTGTCTTTGTAAAAACTTCAGTAATGGATGTTCACATTCATGCAAAAAGGAGATTTTCAGCCTATGTCACTACTGTTGAACTTGCAATGCTACTGGTGTCACGTAATGACTGGGGTTTGTCGCATGACTGTGCACTGTGACTGAAGTCTTTTGTGGGGCCAAGAGGTATCTATGGGATAATATTCTTTCCATTCTGTGCCCTGATAAACAGAATATATCTGTGAAAGCACTGGGCTTTCAGTTCAGCTTGGTATTTTTTCTTCAAATAGCATGTGAAGTCACTGATGATGCATTTAAGTATGACCACAGGACCTGTGTAAATCCAAATTTCAGTTGACATATTTTGTTCACATGTGATTTCATCCCTAAAAAAGATCACCATGTAACTGTGGCATTTCCACCAAGCATTGGGAGGAAAAGCAGTGTCGTCTGCTTACAGAGAGGTACCTTTCCCTCAGCTCACTGCAATAACAAGTGAAAACAGCTATAGTGAATACACTTGCCAAGACAATCCAGAAACCATCCATTTTCACAGATAAACAGAAATCTGGAGACTAAAAACTAAGGAAATTACTTTCTTCTCTACTGAAAAGATTTCTCAGCATATGTACAGTGTGTGTAGACACCGTATGTGCTCAAGTGTGCATCTTCAAAAAAGCCCATCAAACTCTCTCCTATTCTTATGCTGCAGAAAGACCTGGTCAACTGCAATAGTGATTGAAGCTTGGGTGAAGGGACAGGTTGTTCTGTTCAGGCTCCAATCTGGTTACAGCTCAAATCATAGGAACGGTCATGCAAGTTACAATCACTCTTGGTTTCACATGAAAGCAGAGATGCTGAAGTGAGCTCAGCAATAAGACCTCAGTTTGACTGCCCTGTATCAAAGGCTCTGCAGGCACTCTGTTGTGTAAAGAAATTATGGAAGGGATTCCCTGAATTTTGGGGAAGATGGATACTTTGTCTAACACCATTTGCATTAATCTTGATTAAGAACCACTTGAGATGACCTGCCTGAGCTTAGTTGGAAACAGATCATGACAGATCATCTGATCTACCTAGGATGGTTTAGAGCTAAATCTGTGTTTGGACTGAATTGTTTTTCATACCCACTTTAATACTCAAAATCTGACGTGAGATTTTCATCTGTCCGTGTAAGTTCTGGTGCAGTGGCAGGTGTGCAGACCTGTCCTAGCTGGCCTATTCAAACTTGAATATTTCTCTGCACTATTTGGGGATCATTGCAGTGACTAAATCTATGATTGTTTTTTTAATTTTTTTTCCTTCATCTGTTTCTCTGATCTAACAAGGGAAATGTTTCTTTCCCTTCTAAGGAAAAAAAAATCACCCTTGTTAAGAATGCCTGAGTAAGTCAGTGACTTAAGAAATGTACTTGAGGCACCAGTAGAATTCCCTAGGGTTTTTTTTTATTTATTTATTTTGTAAAATATTGAGCTGTAAAACCTTCCTTTCATACATAACTGCATGATGTTGCCACTTGACCACAATCGGTGTCCCAGGTAGCTTATTTACACACACAGATGCAGCACTGGCTTCACTTCAGCAAATCTTTAATTCCCTATGAAGTTTCTGATGGAATTGGACACAGTAGTAAGACAGCAATCCTCTGTGTCTGCAGGGAGCCATTACCATTCCCCAGTTCTTGGAGTGGGACACCGGACTACAGGCATTTATTGCTCAAGAAGTCAGAGGAGGGAATTATATACAGGTTAAACTCAGGTATTCAGTATTGTCCACTCTTTTCTATTTTCCATAAGGAAAAGTGTTCATAAAAAGAAAATGACTGTTAAGAGCTTGATGAAATGTGTTTTAAGAGTTCCTTTCTTTCCACACCACCGAGAAGTGCAGATGTCAACTTCACAGAATATGCTTTGTAAAAATGAAACTCCTGTAACTTTTGTGTTTACAAGAAAAATCTAGAGGAGGCCACATAAAATCACAGAATTGTTTGGTTGGAAGGGACCTTAAAGATTATCTTGTTCCAACCCCCTGCCATGGCCAGGGACACCTTCCACTAGATCAGGTTGCCCAAAGCATCGTTTAACCTGGCCTTGACCACCTCCAGGAATAGGGCATCCACAACTTCTCTGGGAAACCTGTTTCAGTGTCTCACCACCCTCATAGTGAAGAATTTTTTCCTAATATCTAATCATGATCACTGATATTGTAGCTGCTGAGCTGTTACTTTTAAGTTTATCCTTGCAACAGAAGAAATGATTCACAGCAGCTATTGCTGAACATAGAATAATGATTTCATGTTGAGCAGAGCAGTTTCATATATCCTTTTTATTTGGAGGCTGATACAGTGATGGATGGAACCTGAAACCAGCTTTTCTGGCCAAACTGGAAAGTCTTGCTGAATACTTGTTGAGCTGTATGATCAAGTAGCCACCTGTGATAAATTCCTCAGCCCAACTAGTTGTGCTTTTCTCAATTTGGCATCATAAGGTTCAACCATAGATCTTTGCAAATCCTGAAAATACACTATAAGTACTTACAATGCAGTGGAAGAAAATCTTAAGCTGTTTTTCTCATGACCCTGGTAAAACAGCAGGTGTGGAAGAACAGGCTTTGAGACGCACAGGAGATGGTTCCTTTCAAAACTGCCCCAAACATCTCATAGCTGTTTACACGAGTGATAGCCTGGCTACAGAAACAGGCTCCACAGCTGGCTGCCCTTTGTCTGATCCCTCAGGTCTGAGGAAGGCCTTACACAATATATCTAACTGAATTTAAAGACTACCTTTTATTTGTTCCTTAGAAACAACTGCAAAATTTCATGTGCAACACGAAAATGACTCATATAGCTGACATAGTGGCTCAATTCATTATTGCATTCTCTTGCCTCTTGCAAGCTCTCCTAAAGCATCCTTAAAAAACCTGAAACAAAAAGGGAGTTTGAATTCTGTTGCAGATACAGTTTGACTCCTCTACCTCATTGTAGGGATGTGTCCAAAACCAGATGTCAAATGAAGATTGTATTGCTCTTATTGGGGTGGTTGGTGTGAGTGCTGGATTTACACAGGTAAAAATTCTGTCCTGCTTCCAAATAGAAAGTTACAGTTTTTAGCTGCTGGGGAAACAAAGTTTGGCATTGGAATCTAGCCAGGCAGCTCAAACAATTGGATCACAGTGAAAGGTTCTTAAATGTAACTCAGGAATGTAACCTAAATCAGGAATGTAACTGAGTCAATGAAAGATACAGGCCTAAGGACTACATGTGTGCAACAAGGATGAATCCTAGTAACTCCCAATTCATCATATCCTGATCAGTGAAGGGCAGAAATATGTGCTGCAGCTTGAGCTACTCCAATGTTCCAAGCATTGGTGTTGACAGAAGTGATGCCTTTGGTCCATAGTGAATTTTACCTCCTTATTATAGGAATAAGAATAACTTAAACTGTTTTATGCACCAAATATAAAAATTTCTTTCTACTCAGTCATTTGGGATCTTATTTAGGATGTACTTGCAAGACTGCAAATTTGAGTGGTAAAAACATGTGACAAAATGTGCAAATTTAGGATTGCCTTTATTTTCTGTAGGGATTATTTACTACATACACACATTAAAAGAATGAGTTTGTAAGCCTTCTGTTGAGGCTATGAGAACACCAGTTATGTTGATTTCCACAGATTCAATGCCCTGTTTTGGGTTGAATCCTAGAAGCCTTTCCCAGCTTTAAGAGACTTAGATATTTGATCTTGTTGAATTTTGCTTCCACAACAGTGCACATTCATAATGCCCATACACGGGAAGTTTTATAATTCATTAGGATGCTATAGTTCTGATTGACATGTTTGAGTACAAAACAAAGAACCACATTAAAGACGTTGTCTCCTTCCTGTTTCTTCTTCTAAGCTTCTCCTCCTTGCAAGCGGATACACATTTCAAACCTGCTGATACGTCATTATCCACAAGAGGGTTTTCTAGTAGTCATCTCCTGCTTTGATAGGACTGACTTTGTGACAACGAACAGGACAGGAGTAAGATGGTGTAACATCTTCCCTCATTGAGACAAAAGTGAATGTAAATGTTCTCAACCAAAGAACAACGAGCTTAAGTATCCTGACACCACAGCTGCCTTATGCAGATTGCAACTATCTTTGGCCAGGACAAATACCCTCCTTCAAATGGAGAAAGTCCTAGCTGCAAGAAGAAAACTGAATTAGTTTGTCTATTAATTAATATTCTTCCCATCTTTCCTCAACTTTCTTATGAGTTTTAAAGACTAGAATTTATTGTAGCTTGTCTTTAATCTCCACCGTAATAATAGTTTAAATCTTGCTTAGCTTCTACACTGAAACTGCTTGTAGATATTTAATTAAAGCTTTCATACCATCAACCTTATATTGAATGTGAACACAAGGAGCATGGAGAGCACCAAGAAATCCAGGCCAAGCCTTAAAAGCATTCTAAATCACTGAAGTCACTATTTAGTCTAACTTTCCTTTTTCGAAGCAGGAGTGCCAGTTGGCATCTTCTGTAGTATGTGTTGTCTTCATACCTTTGTATGACTCAGTTACCAGTAACTAAAATAATCACAGAACTGCTTCCCAGCACAATGCATGGACTTTAAAATGTGTTCATTCAAGCAACTAACCATGAGGGACTCTTCTTCTACTTGGAAACATACAAGAAAACAGTACCAGGAAGCACAGCAATGTTTTCTAGGAAAAAAAAAAAAGCAATGCTGCAGAAAGAGCAATCTTAAATTCAGGTCCTTATATTGCTGTTTCTTTTCCAAAGATATTTTCCCTGAAAAACAGCACTGAAGCACTGCTAAGAGCACAAGAGGAGCAGAATGGTGGCAATAACACCACCTTCCTGTACCTGTACCTTAAACATTTATGTTATGCATATTCTTGAGACTGAGATGTGGAAAGGCCTGTCGGGGAGAACAGCGGACTGGAATCATTCCCCCTTCCGCTCCCATTCCTGTGAGAGTCAATTTGGGTGATTCAGTCCAGACTCTCTGTATTTATGCCCAGTAGATGTTTGACATCTCAACAACTGTGGAATTTCCATGCCTTCCTCACACTGTACATTCTGGTGCTTTGCTAACTGCACTGGTTTGCCAGCTTTCACTAATTCCTCATTTGTCTCCTTTGTGTCAGCTGTGCTGCTTCTGTTTCTCAGCGTCAGCCTGTTTGTTCTGTGTTTATCCACGGGTTCTATATTCTTTTACTTTAGATAAAAATCAAACATTAGTAAAAGTATAACCTAAAACAGAACTGTAGAAAGCAACAGAACTTTGATAGTTCTTCTCTTCCTCTCACCTGAACTCTCCATCAACTTCTTCCTTTGAGGAAAATGGTCCAAAGAGAAAACTGAGTTTTATCAGTGATGAGTGAAAAAGGATTACTTCATGTATTTTATATGATCTACCATACACTACAAATCCCATATGATGGCTGCATTTATTTTTGGAATAGCATGATCCTGACTTAGCAACTGTAACTCTCAGCATTCCTGCTGCTCTGTAGACAGCTCTTCCCTGGCCTCTACCTGTGGAACCTCTTGCTCATGTATAGCACCTTGCAACAGTTCTTAGGGGAAGGAAAAAAAACCCATGAGTAAACAAGTACATTTAATTTTCAAGTATAATTAATTTTGCAAGTAAAGAGTATAAACCTAAGTAATAATTAAAAAACCCCCAAACTATTTATATCTTATATAAAAAGCCAGTTATTTCAAGTTGTACACATCAAGGGAAACAGTGCCACAGCTTAATGAGGAACAAATTCTATCCATAGCTGAAACAGCTAAGCACAAGTTATTACATACAAATATACATATCTGCACCATACTTATTAATATACTTTAGAAAAACCTAATTTTTCCGAACAAGGGCAGCCCATTTCCCCTCCTCATAATCATTGTTTCCTGATGTTACTCTGCAGAGTCCTTTGTAACTTGGCTATGTTGGCATCCAAGGCTGCTAAACTATTCTTAAAGTCCTCTTCATCTCGAGAAGTAAATGTTGAGAAAGAGGTTGCACTCCACTCAGACCTCACTGATAAACCATCAAATGAAATGCAACTAAAATCAGCTGGTTTACTACCTTTTCTCTGAGAAATCTCTGTTGGAAATGGCATTGATACACGAGGGTATGTACCAGGCTGAGGTTGGTCTGGTTTATCTGTGGAATCTTTAGCAGCTCCACTTGGAATGACTTTTGATCTCATTTGGACTTTGTCTCCTTCCAACTTTGCTTTATCCCCTGTAACTTCAAGAGTGTTTTCCACAGTCTTTTTCACACTGTACCCAGCACTTAACTTATCCAGTACAGTTGGATCCTTTGACAGCTCACATCCACACTGCGGCACAGAACTTGGGAGCTCACAGAAATCCAAAGTTTTACAAGCCCCTCTACTCTGGGGTAGCACACCAGTTCTTTCAGAGACTGGCTGCTGTTTTTTAGAGGCACTGCTAGTCAATGGAATATAAATTGTCTCATCCAACTTGTTTTGGTCATCTAGTAAAGTCCCAGAATCACTAACTGTTTCTGCGTCTTGGTTCAATGAAGTTTGTAGTGCTCTGGGAGCTGATGTTCCTTCTTCTTTGAATGTACTGTTTATTTTACTTCCTTCAGCATCAAACTTTTCATAGGCCAGATTTTGCATTTCCATGTTTCCACTTTCATTTGCGAATTGAAGATCTGTATCTATCAAAATATGATCCATTTCTAATTTTTTAAGGTAAGTCATTACTGCAGTACTCCCAGGAAATGGCTCAGGTTGCATCTGCTTTTCGTGGTCTTCCAAAAGAGACTTTGAGAGAGCTTTTTCAGGTTTGGGTCTGACGTTGTCCGCTGTGAGATCAGACAGAAGCTTGGCCATACTGCCCTGCAAGGTTCTGTTTAGGTAAGATCAGTACAACAGGTTCAAAATTAGTCACTAAAAAGAGTAGTTAAAAACTTTTCCATAGGACCAAAACAGTAGATTTATCAGACTGTGGCAAAGTGGCAATGCTCTTTCCACATATTGTCATAAAATGTAGTACAAACATGAACCAATTCCAAGTTTCTTGAACTTTTCTTCAGCTCAGTATGGTTATAAAACAACTGGAATAGCAAAACCCAATGAAGTTCTCCAGATTATTCCTGGTTTACCTGACATTGTGTGGCACAAAATGAAATAAACTGATGCCAAGAAACTCTTCAAAGCAGACAGAAGAAGTTATCAAAATCCCTACAAAATGTTTTCTGAATTATTGTTCCCATTACATCTAAAAATATGATAAAAAATATTATAAAGGAAATAATTCTTTTAACTTTCTGCTTTGTACATCAAAAGCAATTCATGTTTAGATGCTTAAGTCTATAGCAGATACATAAACACAAGCAGTAAGACATTATTACACCACCATCTGGTGGTCAGTATAGCAGCCACAGAAGTGTCTAAAATTCTACTGAATAATTTAAAATGTTGATTAAAAATATTCTGCTGTTTCCATCAGTACCAACTATAAACATGACAAACAACAGTTTTGTTTCCTGAACACAGAATGTCCAAACCAATTTTTTGTGCATACCACTATGCAGCTGCAAAACCCTATTTATGTCTCCCAGCTTGCTGCTATTTTTATCATAAAAGACTGTGACAAAATAAATTCACAATAGTAGTAGTTCTAAAAAAAAAAATGTGAGTAACACCACCTTCATTCAGTGATTGAAGAACTTCTACCTCTACCCATAATTATATCTGGGCATAATCTACTTCAAATGTCTGTACAGTTAAAGAAAGGACTGCTCATTCCCACAGGAAGAGCTTGCTGTGGGTCCTGAAGGCAGATCTTCTCTGCCAGTTGTTCTCAAAACTAGACCAATATAAACTAGACCACTGTAAAAAAAATTCAGGTGAAGAGTTAGTTTCCAAATTCTACACCTTCAAGGGAAGTATCAGTACGTTTTCAGGTCCTTACCCTTCCCATGGAACAACTTATTGCCAGATCTGCTATTAAGAGTTAAAACTTCACACAAGTTACTGCAGATATTATTTTACTTTACCACAGAATTCAAGTCATGGAATATGACAAATTTGTTTAAACAAAATTATATCACCATTGTAACAAAAGTAACTACAAAGAGAATTTTAGCCTGTGTTACCTCCTACCACCAAGATACTAAGATTACAGTAATCCACAGCATAAAAAAAAAAAAGAAAAAACTAGGGAAAAAAACCACAAACAAACAAACAAAAAAACCAAACAAAAAAGACCAATGTCAAGAGGCAAAAAAAAATGCTTAGCCAACAGTACCTGGTTAATTCCCGCAGTCTCTTAACCTCGGCATCCCGCTGACGTAATGTTATGCCCAAAATCTTATTTTCTTTCTCTGAAGCTTCCAGCTTAAACTGAAGGCTCTTCACATTTCCTAATGCTTCTTCCACTTCTGAAATGCCAAGAAGAATTTACCTAATTATTTGAGTTCTAAAACATTAAACAAAGAATAACCAAATTGAAAACACGTACCAATCTTGAGCTTGGTGGAATGAATGTCATAATGCTGTTTGTTTTCAAGCAATTCTTCTTCTTTATCTTGAATAACTTTTGCAAGATGTTTATTTTCTTCCTTCTGACTTTCTACTATTTTAAGAAGTTCTTCATTTTTAGCCTGCAGTGAATCAAGGCCTTTCTGCGATTCTTTCAATTGACTCTGGAGCATCATATTCAAGGACTGCAAAGAAACTACTACCAAAAGTAAAACATAAAAAGTTTAAGTGTTTTGTAGGGTAGTTTGAATTGCTAAACCAAACTAAGCTTTTAAATAATCTTGGTAATATGCATTTTGGTTACAAATAGAGGAAGGGGTTTTTGCAGCAGCAAGATAAAGCTCAAGCTTTCTTCTTAATTATCTGTCATCTTCATTTTAAGAGGCACATAAGGAAAAATAATCTGCTTGGCAGCTGAAGAGCCAAGTCTGACTGTGGAGCCTAAAAAGGCCCAACAGCCCATGCAAATGCAGCCACATGATTAGACCCACAACACTTAGTTTGGTTGCCACTAAAGGCTGCAATACATACAGACATAGGAAGATACAAATATATAAATAAAAAATAACAGTATCTATTGAAATAAAGCTGTAACAAATATTCCCCTGACAAGCAACATTATCAGTACTTTACATTCATAATTGCAGCTCTGTCCAGATTTCTTCTCACTAGTGTCTTGTTCCCTGAGTTTCTGGTTTAATATTCTTAGTCTCCTAGATGGGAATTGTGAAAAAGCACAAATTCAGAAGTATTAGAATTAGCTCAAAAGCACTGCACTTTAAATTAGTTTGGTAAGAAGTTGCTACTGAGAATTAAATGTAATGGAATGTTTCAGAAATATAAAAAAGTTTTAATAACATGTTTTTCTTACATTCCTGTACTTCTTCAACACAAAAGACCCTTTGCACATTCTGGTATATATCCTTCCCCCTGCTCTGAAGTCAAGTGCTACTCAGTAATGCATTTGAGAGCTCCCCTGAAATGAGAGACACTTTTGCATTTGAGAATGGTCTACAAAAAGAATATGAGCAGGCTAACTATGTTGATACTGCAGTTTTCAGAACAGTGCATTGATCCCACCCAGCCAAAGGCCCAGTCACGAGATAACCAACACTATTAAGACATTGGTATTAACTGAAGACTTGCTGTGTGTTAGTTATTTATTTGTAAGGTATACAGCCTCACCAACACACTTTCCAGTACATAAATACTGCACAGACAAGAAGGGAAGAGCCCTAACATGTACACCACGACAATGATAGAACACAGGCAATTTAGAACAGGCCAGTTAAAGGTGCTTTAGGCACATCTGCAGTAACCACAGGATCGCTGACAGTTCCTGACCTGCGCAGCTGGGCATTTTCACTCCTGAGAGGCTGTAAAGCCAGTGCTATTTCAGCTTGGATGTTTGTACTTCCCACTACAGCGGGGAGCAATGATATGCAACCTTCTATTTCACTCATCAACCTCAGCATTTCTGGATCATCTGCAAGAGGGGAGGGGAAAAATGACATTCAATAAACCTATAAAGCTGCAATATGACAGTAATATTTTACATGTGATTAAGCAATCTACAAAGTGATTTACTAATATCTACATTGTTTTCCCCAGGAAAACCTCATCTTTAACTATATTTATTTAAAATTGTTAAGCTTGACTATGAAAACTATTCTTTACATCCTCAATAAAACACAAGCCACCATCTCTCCAACCAGCCTTGGTGGGATTGCTGTTGCAACATGTCCACACTGGGCCCTCTCTCAGGGGAAAGGTCTGTATACGAAATAGGAACAATCCTTACCCCAGATGTTATGATAATGTTAAAATAGTCCAAAAAATAATTTAATACTTACGCAGAGTGAAACCTGAAGGTATTGCTCTTGTGGAAAACCATGCTAAGATGTCACACACCATCTGACACACACAACTTGCAGAAGCTGAAGTGCTCACATTTAACAAAGCTCTTGTGTTATTTATATGTAATAACTCCACTGCACAACAAAAATGTCCTCACCTTGATCTGTTATCAGTTCTCTGAGTTCACCCATAAGATATTTTACAGTCATAACTTTATGAGCTGTTTCTTCTGGACTTTCTCTTCTAGATTTTAGAACTTTCTTCACACAACTTGTCCTACAGCCTGTATCTCTCACCGGAGCTATGTCAAGGACATTCAATTCATCTTCCTCACTGACCACATCCTCACTGTGCTCTTCAGGAGTATCTTCCTCCGTGTCACTTGAGCCATCATGTTGTGCTGGACAATGCTGATGACACCTCTGTTCAGTGCTGCCATTCAGTCCCTCACGTGATTGTAACAGGGCCAGGTGAGCTTGTATGCACCTTATCAAATCTGCTTCTTTTATCTGATGCTCTTGGCTTGGGGTCATCTCTCTGGCAGAAGATGCTGGGATCAATGTAGGCACTGTAGGGATCGAAGGACCTGGTGCTATACAAGGGACCACACTAGGAAGAGCAGTGCCAGACTGCACTTGTACAGCAGGAGCAGCAGAAACTACTGGGAAAACCACAGGTCCTCCCATCTCTGGCACACATCCACTGGCACTATCTACAGGAACACCCTGCATAAAGAATATTCAAATTAAACAAAAACTTAACATAATTTCTAAATCTTTATAAAAAAAACCACAAACAACACTACTCTTGTCTGACTCAATGTAGTCTCGATCATTCTTTACTAATTATAAGAACAAATTATTAACTGAATAATTTTCCTGTATAATAAGGAGTAATTAAAATGTAAATCTGGTTTAGATTGTCTTTATCTTAAATGTTACTGGCAACATTAAAGCATAGTTCTTTTTCAAGTGTTCTATAAAGAAAAAAACGTCAGCGGTGTTTCTTGAATCCATCCAGAACAGGGAAGAAAGAAGAAAAAAAAAAAAAAGGACAACACTGTTACCTTTCAAGATTTTAAGCAGATGAATTTCAAAAGTCAAGGCCAGCACTAGCTATACATGGACTGCCTGCAGATGGAAGGTAAGTCTACAGTCTTACAGATTCAAGGTGCAAGCCCTCTACCACACTTCCTGAGGTGGCAGCTGGTTCTCTCCATTAGTTCTATTCTATACCCTGAAACACACAGGCATTTTAACATGTGCCTGTAAGATAATACAGACTGTCGGAAGAAATTATTAACTTGATCATTGGCAGGGAAAAGCTCCATTTGATATATGATTTCTTCTATCAGGAGTTGGTTAATGATCCTAATGTGCATTACTGAGAATGCAATTAACAGTAATCAATAATTTCCTGCACCTTCCATGTTTATTGTCCATTACAGAATTCCCCATGCAGAAACAAGCAGCCAGTTGAAATGCCTCTAATTTCATTTTTTGGTGTCTATATAAGATGTGTTTTGAAAAGTGATATTTTCTCTATTTATTTTGTTCATCGCTACAGATTGAAATATGCAATTTTTTTAAAGGAAAAACATTAGGAAAACTGACAAAATTAAATTTATAAATAAGCAGGCAGTGCTAATTCAGTATGTTTATTAATAGTCAGAATCAAACTTCTACTTACTGACTGAGTAGTTAAGGGATTAGCTGAATGCTGCAGGGACAGTCCTGATGTGGACAAAGGTAACAGATAATTAAAAGCTGCAACATTTTGACATCCTGAAAGAAAACAGCAGAGCTCAGGGAAATTTGGGGCAAAACTCATGCAGTTTAGTAGTCAGCTCTACATTAATAGTTCCACTAACCCTGATTTGAGGTAGGAGAAGGAGTTATAGTAGGAATTTCATTACTCTCCTGTGGTGGTTGGCCAGTTATCAGAGACATCTGAGTTTCCACATGCTCACACAGTTTCTGATACATCACAGGAGAGTGTTGACTGCAAGGCACATGAATAGGTTGAACCATCTGATTCTGTGCTGCACTGGAAAGTTCTTTCTCAGCAGAAGGTGTGGTGGACGAAGCAAATTTTCTATTTGATATTGGCACTGCAGAGAAATAAGGAACAAAAAACCCACCTGAAGTTGCCTGTCTTCTCGAGCTACACAAACCCATTGTGTTCTCTAGCAGATTTGTAAATGCACTCAACTTTCTTTCGTATAGGTGTAACTCAAACATTTGTGAATTTCAGTAACTGTTTACTAAACATTTAAGGTTTTAAAAAACAGTAATTTATGTCTACACCCTTTTGTGGATTCCGCCTGGGATCGGCCCATAACAAATGGCAACAATTATTTGAAGCCTCGCCCCATCTCAGTAAGTTGAGGAGTCTTTCAATGTTGTTCAAGAAAAAAATCAAGCCCAAGAAAGCCCACTTACGAATTTCTTTTCGGACAGGAGCAGGAGTAACATTTCTTGTTAACCCCTTCTTCTTGGAAGTATTTCCTTTGGTTAGCAAAGGCTTGGAAGTAGGTGCTTTCCCAGGTTGTTTATGGACAGCCTCCTTTCCTAGTATTAGTTGAAAGACAAAGCAGTCAACAAAACAAATCAAGAGAGTATTGTGAAACCTAAAAATGTAACTTGCATTTTCAATAGCTACAACCTGTAGCCCCATTTTGTATGAAATTCTTCAGTAAAGCTGCACACTGGTCAAGTCCATCATGGATAGCATCAACCTGCACAAAGAACACACTGCAGTCAGAAAATGAGTACCACTGTTTTCTTTCAGTAAACTCAGGTTTGAGGGGAATAATCTCCACTCTGTCACCTGACAAAGAACAACTGATAACCAGAAAGAAGTTTTCCATATACTACTTTACAATTATATGGACTTTTGCAAACATGTAGATTTCACAAAATAACTAAATTGTGTTGTTGCACCATGTCCATTTGCTGGATTTCGTGTCTTGGTAACTGCATGCGTGTTTTTTCTAATTCTTATTTCCATGTACAGTTAAACTGTTATCTACGGCCTATTTGTATTTTGGAGACAATTGGTTCAGCACTACACAAATCCCAGTGCTGCAGCACTGACTCCATACCACTCTTTGTGCTCTTTTCAGCACAAAAACTTAACAAGTGTGTCTGTTCTTCTGCCAAAACCAGCCCCCGTCCACAAGCAACATATTTGTGTTTGCAAAATGTATCCTGTGCTTTAACGAGATTTGCCAGAGCCAAAGTCACTGCACACAAAACCAACTTGCTTGTATCTGCAAGGTGCAGTACAGACTCTCTTGCTTTGCAGGAGCATTTCAGGTTCAGATTAACCTGCTTTTCTTCTATTACTCATGATATTACAATTTCCCTTCTCTTTAGATAACAGGGATGACTGTATTAAAACGTCACTTAATTACCTGATTGTCAGAGTCCGTGGAAAAGAATTCTGCATCAGTATAACATCCTCTCCTTAAGCCAAACCTGAAAAAGTCAAATTCACTGTTTATACCAACTCCTTAATATGCAGCAAAGTAAAAAACAACTTACTTTCATTCAATAGTAGGAAACAAGAGGAAATTAATTTTATCAAGAAAAAAAATAACTTTCTGAAAACTTTGCATGGCTGCAACAAACATATTTAGCCAACAGCTTAAGTCAAAAGCAAATTCAGCCTCCATTCAACAATCTTACATACAGCTATCAATTATAAAAATTCAATCTACTACAAATAAAACATATGCAGAGTCAACTCTCTATTTTTATATGCAAAATTTCTATTCAGTTTGTGTCTGTCTATTAATGGGCTGCTTAGAACCTGGCCATACTGACTTTCAGCTAAAACCTTTTCTTTACATATACAACAAATTTTGGTTAGTTGTGCAGTGTGACAAGTATAAGATTCCCAAACACTCACACATACACTCAATCTTAAACAGTATTTGTCATCAAAGTCTTACTGTTTTCTTCCATTTGTTAGTTTAACTGCTCCTGACAGCCTTCCAGAGGACAAACCCTGTTGATTACAGAAATACACTTTGATTTTCATGAAGTACTTTCACAACATACTTGAAGACTACCATTGCCCCCCAGTTCCAAGAACTTTTGCAGAAGTGGATCAGTCCAAGGCAATTTACAGCTCCCAGGCCAAGGAGGGGGTAACTGCTGCCAACAGGGACTTAAACTTGTGGGTTTCGTTTCACAAAATGTCCCTTTACAAAGCATGATGCTTTGATAATTTCCACAGCATTCTATAGATACAGTGATTCACTTACTGACATGTCCAAGAGCTGATGTACAAACTCAATAAATACCCACCTGAACCCTGGGGACTTTAAGGATCACACACCACGTGCACACAGGGTGGAAGAACCCTCACACACTCCCAGAGTCACAGGATGGGTCAGGCTGGGAGGGACCACAGTGGGTCCTCTGGTCTAACCTCCCTGCTCAAGCAGGGTCATCCCAGAGCACATGGCACAGGATCGTGTCCAGACGGTTCTGGAATATCTCCAGTGAGGGAGACTCCACACCCTCTCTGTGCAACCTGTTCCCCCCTTTAGATATTTATACACATTGATGAGGTGCCCTCTCAGCCGTCTCTTCTCGAGGCTGAGCAGACCCAGCTCCCTCAGCCTTCCCCCGTAAGAGAGATGCTCCAGTCCCCCAACCACCCTCGCTGCGCTCCGCTGGACCCGCTCCAGGAGCTACATGAGAGACTCGCTCAGAGCTGGACACCGCGCCCCGGTGCGAGTCAGGCTGGGCCCCGGAAGGCCCGACCGCTCGCAGGAGTCGTTACTGGATGGCGGGAGAGGCCCCCGCAGCTCCCCTCACCCCGTCCGGGCACACGCCGGGTCTGTGAGGCCGCGGACGAGCCCGCCCCGCGCCCTCAGCCCCCCCGCCCCGCTGGCACCTTGCGCGGCCGCGCAGCCCCCGCGGCGGCCATGGCCCTGGCCCCGCCCCAGCCCGCGCCCGCCAATAACGGGCCGGTCCGTCCGTGAGGGGGCGGGTCTAACGGAGGGGGCGGGTCTAACGGAGGGGGCGGGTCTAACGGCTGCGCCGGCGGCAGCGGGCGCGGGAAGGGGAAGGAGCGGCGCTGCCGAACGCGGCTGGGGATTGGTGGAGAGCGGGCGCGGAGGAGCCAATGGGAGGAGAGAAGAGGAAAGGGCGGGGCCAAGGTGGCCGTGAGGGGCGGGCGCGCGCCCCGGCCCCGCCCCGCCGCTCCTGAGGGGAAATTCCCCCGTGTAGGGCGAATTGTATGTCCCGGTCCCTTAGAGCTCCTTTCGGAGCAAGAAAATCACTGTAATAGAACAGCTGAAGGAAGGAATATGAGCTAGGGGAACAAAAAAAGAAGATGAAAAAAGCTCAAAACGCTGTGAGGCAACTACCAAGTTAGAGCCAGAACCATTGCTATATTTCTCTCTTAAGGGAGTTTCCAGAAGTTTATAGGTAAATTCTCATTGAAGTGATAGATGTGGGTGCAAGATTTAAATAATGAAGAATTTTTCCAAGTCGTTTAGCAACAAGTAACATATGAAAAAAAAATCCCCGCACCCCAATCCCATCCTTTAGTTTGAAGATACACAGATCAGCACTTCATCATATTTATAAAATACATCACACTCTTAAAATATGTGGGAAAATCGAGCCTTGCAGGTGGGTGGTCACAAAATCAGAGAATCAATTGGGTTGAAAAAGACCTCCTCGATTCCAACCTGTGACCCACCACCAGGAGGTCAGCTATTAGCTGAATAATAGACCTTCTGAACACACAGCATTGAAAGTAATCACATTGACTCAGGCTGAAAACTATGCTGTTAAGAGTACTATAGCAGAAGTAAATATACATAGTCAAACATCTCTGCTCTCCCAATGTGCAAATTGTGTTGTTATTACTGTGTTAACATTTATGCTGAAACTATACTGAACTCAAAGTAAAAATATATTGTGAACACATTTATCATCTTGTCAGAAATAAACCCAAAGAAAACAGTAACCCAGAAGGGTTTTCTCACAGAAATTTGGAGACTGCTTCAATTCTTCTCTTTGAAAAGTTTAAAACAAGAAGATCACCATAATAGAACAGCTGAAGGAAGGAATATAAGCTAGGGAAAAAAAAAAAAAAGAAAAAAGATGAAAACAGCTGAAAAAGATGTGTGGCAACTACGAAATTAGAGCCAGAGCCATTGGTATACTTTTCTCTTAAGGGAGCTTCTGGAATTTTATGGATAAATTCTCATTGAACTGATAGATGTGGGTGCAGTATTTAAGTAAGGAAAAATTATTCCAAATTGTTTAGCAACAAGTGACATATAAAAAAGCCCAATCACCCCACCCCAATCCCATCCTTTAGTATGAAGACACACAGATCAGCACTTCATTCTTTTGCATCAAAAGGAAAATAAATACAGAAGGCCATCAAGCTCAGTTCTTGGCAACTGAACCATTTTGAAACTACAGATGAAACAGCAAGGTTGCCTTATAAATAATTTTTTAAAATGTGGAGAATATCTGAATACCTCTGAACCTGTCTGGTTCTGGTAAAACTGTGATTAAAAAAAAAAATTATTCTTTGTCTTACATACTGAAATGCTTCAATGTCATGTGCTGAGTTCATGCATAGTTATGACAGATTGTTACTCATACTCATCATCGAGTTATGTTTCAGAGAGAAAATTAAATGCCATGTCATGAAACCATTTTTATCTTTTTTTCCAGTTTGACAGAAAACTAGCATTTCCCAAACGTTTCCAGCACATGACTTTGGATATGGTTGAGGCCTTTGGGAAAGCAAACCAACAATCTTCCTGGTTTCAACAGTGGTGTAGAAATAATGCCTAGGTCGATTGGGAAAAAAAAAAAAACAAAACATAAAAAAGCTGGTAAAAAAGCTGGCAAATGTGACATAAATAAAAGTGTAGTATATGTGGAAGAAAAGACTCAAATCATTAACAAAGGAAAAGCTGTCTGAATTATGAATAATGAAAATATATATGTGGTTGCATTTCAATCTTAATGGTTGAGGTGCTGTCCATATTGCATGATGCATCACCAAAAATAACGAAAAGCTTATTCTTACCCTAAACTATTTACAGTGAGTTGAAATACCAGAGTCTTACAGCAAACTGTATACATGACTGATGTGCTTAATAATGAAGAAGTAAATATATGTAGAACAGATTTCAGGGATCAGAGATTTTTGAGGGGACAATTCTTAGATAAAGTAAAACAAAGCTCTTTTGTTTCAGGAAGGAAAGCAAAGAAAATGAAGCTAAAGGTGAGAGAAGACACATCAATCAATCCAGTTTCATCAGAAAATGGGGCCTTTCCAGTACCTACGTAGGAAAACCAAGGCATATTTGCATTCAGTGTAAGTTCCAAAAGCCTCTTGCTACCAGTACCAAGAAGTTCTAGTGATCTAATTAAGTACTAACCTAAGCATGATCAAGCAATAGCACAAACTAATATAAAGCTTTCCTCTGAATGAATTGCAACCAAAAGTTTGCTGGACTTAACAAGGGAGCATTTCATGAAATGAGAAGCTTTTTGTAAGATCAGTAGGCCAGGAATATGTTTATTACTTTGAGACTAGTTTGATAGTTGCCCAAATCCCTGTAAGTGTCCAATTAGGGAATAAAGCTAGAACTTGAATACTGGAAAGAAAACAAACAGCTCTTTTGTCTATCTGCCTGTCTTTCAGTCTACAGCTGGCCAACAGAAAAGGGGAGGTGAATAGCAATGAATATATAATTAATAATGCAACCTGCAGAAAACATGCACTTCAGAAACAGGTATGTCAAAATCATGCTTAAGGGATGTCATAGCAATTAAAATGGACCCTAGAACTGTAATGCAATTGTAAAAGAGGTTTCAAAATGATCTACACTAGATTTTCAAGGTTTCAGTCCAAGACATGCTTTAGTTCGATCACACGTAGTGAAAGCTGCCGCAGGACTCGCTGCGTGGTCTGTGTGGTTCAGAAAGCCTGTCATCCAATTCTGATTTTCTGATATATTTGGAATTAATGTGTCTATAAGGCATGAGTTTCTTCTTCCTGTTTTGTAAATATAGCGGGAGAAAAAAATAACTTGGTTTTGGTCCGTCTGCTCACATGTAAGTGAAGGATCTTACGTAAAGCACATTAAATGCTCCTCACCTTGAGAAGTTCTCACAAGAACGAGATCATGAGGGTTTTGACTTGCAGGAGACATCACTAAGACTACAGCTGTTTTGACCTTTCTGAGCTGGTGACAGTGTAAGTAACACCCCGGAGCGCTCAGACGGTGGATGACACTGTACTGACAAAGGACTGGTGCGGGAGGTTTGATTGCCACAAGGTGGAGCCACGAGAACAGTAAATAATTCTCTCTGCATGGAAACCAAAGGGGGCTTGTTGTTTCCGTACGATAAATCCAGGCACATTTTTGTTTAGATAACACTAAGAGAATTCCAGTGATATTTTACAGAATCTTTGTCAAAACTTATCTTTTCAGGCAATCCTACTGACAGCAATAATGTTTTGTTAGGGAAAGTGCATGTATGAAAATAGTAATTTTTTTTGGCTAAAGCACTATTTATTTATTTCTCTACTAAATATAAAATCTACTGTGACATCAAAATGACCTTTAAAACCACATAAACAATTTTCACAGTATGCAAGTTTAGTAGCAGATCTTGAATCTGATGGCTTTAGAGGGAGAAACAAACTCTAACAACAGATGATTTTCTCAAATACTCATTTTCATTCTGTGTTAGAAAAAGAAATGAAGCAATAGAAGAACAACAAATAAAATACCTAAACATAATTATCCCTCAATAGAGTGTTTGTCCAAATTTCCTATAAGGCAGATTTTGGAAGCAGTACTGCGATGTGAGTGTTGAAGTCAAGGGTCAATGAAGTTTGTTCCACCAAGGTTAAATCCTGTAACACTTGTTATTTTAGGAGCAGATTCATAGATAAATAAGTTACGGTACCTAAGAGACTTAAAAATAATATCGTTCTGTTGCAAAAAGCCAATAGATCTTTAACCACAAATTTCTTCTTGAAGCTTTAACTTCCATTTGAACTGTACCAGCTCCTTCAGATTATCTCCGGGGGTCCCTTCCAAGCTAGATAGCTCTGTGATTCTGATTCCGAACTTTTTTCTTCCACTTTTTTTTCTCCACATCCACTTTTGATTACCTCAGTGTAATCTATTGCCTTGCTCACATCTATGGCCTAACTTCATCTGAATTAAAGTTATCAGCTGGGAAATAAAGCTGGCTATACCAGTATAATAACAGTGCCATAACCAGTGCTCTATTAATTCTCCACATGATCCCACATAAGAATTATGCAACTAAGTAGTCTTCAGGATGTAAACCTTTGCCCAACTCTGATAATTAGGATGAGCAAGAGGTCCTTTCCTAAGATCTGCAGTGAATCAATCCCATCAATGCATCTAACTAGTCAAATCAGCACAGTAACCTGGTTGTCTTCCACTGCTAATAGAAATGCACAAATCCATTTTCCTCTCTCTATTAAACGGCTAAAAGAAGTCACGCCTTTAAGTGCTGTCAGAAGTATGTAGGTACTTTTCTGAATCCATAGTGAAACCCGTGACTGTATTTCCTGGGTTGTCAGCATGAACTGATAAAGCTTTTAAATTCTGGTTTCTTGCGGTTACGTGAGAAGACTGCAATCTGCTTTCCATACATATTGACTATCAATTGCCATTAGATCCAAAACCACTCCCTGCCCTTTGGTTTTCTTAGTAACTGAAAACATGTGTTGTGGTACCGACTTCCCCTCATATTCTTAGGTTTCTTTGACAGAGACTGTCTGAATATTAGGTAGTGTGAAAAGATGCTGATCTGTTTCCTTTGACAGAAGGGGTTTGCTCCAGTCTTCTACATTAGCTATACAAAATCTGAGTGAGTGAGAACAACAACAAGACAGAACCAGGATACTTGTAATCAGTCCTGGCTGCTGAGTGATGCTGGAAACAA